CCAGTTATCCCCCCCATGAAGTCAATCACTATTCTCTTTCTCTTCCTCACCACTTTGCTAATGGCGCTTAGCCAAAAGATCTCTCGATAATCCACGGGGTCACCCTTGTTTAGCTGAAGTCTCTTGGCTAGGTACCTCCCCCAGAACCGAAAGGGCCCTCCTCCAAGCCAGCCACCCAAGGGTCAGCCACCCAAGAGTCAGCCATGTCTACCGAGTAACCCGTCCCCTGTCTGCCCCTCGGCTTTTCTACCCTCCAAAGCCTCTTTCTTCCACTCAAACGCGAACTTGACCCGCCGACAATCCGACAGGACGAGTTCGTCAAAGAGGTCGACCAACGACCGCACATTTTCTCCGTAGGTCCCTACCGACCCGGGCTCTCAGAGACTGGCGGACGTATTCTTGAGAATATTCCTGTTCATATCTACACAAAAGGGACTTGGTAAGTAAGTTGGCAGTTACAACGACTGTTACGATGGCTGATAAAATGTCTGTTACAATGCCTGTTACAGAAGCACCAGCAGCACCCACAAACACCCCCAAGTTCGAGCTGGAGTTATGCCGAGCCTGGTTCACTCCCCTTCGACTCCCAGCATTTGCGGCGTGATGAACGAACCGTCAGAGCTTCTCTTCCGGCCTGCCATGTGTCTGCGCAGATTGCGGCCCTTAAGCCGAGTCTGGGCTAGCGACGAATAACCAGAAGTGTCATGGGCGCCACCTTGAGAGCCTTTCCAGGGGGGCATGCATCTGACACGCAGCACCAATGCGTGTTACAGTGCCTGTTACGAATCTTTCTTTCTTCACGTCGCCCGTTCTTTCTCGGAGAGGTATGATTCTTGTCTACGGTGAGTCTTCAGAGAAACCTATCAAGTTCCTGCTGGGCGGAGGGGTCGCGTGGAGCTTGAATCTTACATGAAACCCTAGATGCGTATGCTGCCAGCGCTGCCGTTGATGGCACTCCTGCTCCGTTCTACCAAGCTGCTTTGGAGACCGCATCGTCGCAGTATGTCGTTGCTACCGCCGCCACCGCCGCCTCTTCTCAATTCTCACAAATGGCTCGAAGCAGCCTCCTCTGTCCTTAGTAAAGAAGGGGAGACTTCCCCAGCACAGAGCGTCCTTGACGCCGCCATTTCTGCTGCCTCGTCCTCTCTCTCTCTCCGCAGCAAGCTATGCGGCGAGCACAGCCATTTACGATAACTCCTGTCCCCTACTATCAGAGTGCTTTGGATGGTCCTCTATCATTCGGGTGCGATTTCTGCAGATCTCATATCCATATGATATTTGATCCGTGGAATCCAACGGGTTCGAATCTTGGTCATTGAGCCTACGAACCCTACGAATCGTCTCTGATTGCATTTGCAGAGCAGGGCTCTACGCGTTTCGACACAGACTCTCTGAAGACTTCTCAAGGACAAAGCACAACGCATTGCCACTCAGGTACGCACGCCTTGCCTTCCGCCCTTGCAGGCGGTGACTGGGATCATGAGAATCCATCTACATCCGTCTGTCCCAGTTCGATATTGCTGCAGTCCTCTAGACGCACACAACGGCTGTAGGACTTCCCCCTGAGGCTATCGCATACAGTCGCTGGGAAGGGCGGCGACTTACTCGGTCAGTCAGTCGGTCTGTCACTCGTTCGTTCGTTCATTTATTCATGAGATTCTCCGCCCACAACAGTACGTCCTACGGCAAAGGATCGAACAGTCCATGGCAGAAACAGCCGGCCGGGAAACCGACCGAGTCATTCATTCATTCGATTGATTCATTCGATTTCCGCCTAAAACAGCACGTACCACACTACGGCAATACTTCCCTTCTCCCTGTGGCTTACCGTATATAGCCGTCGGGAAGGATAGCGAGTCAGTCAGTCAGTCAGTCAGTCTCAGAGGTTCAAGCTGTCTCTCCCAGCATCCCTGGAGACAACGTTCCCTTGGTACAGAAAGAACTTCTTCCCAATGCGCAAATGGACGCTTTCGCCGCGCGCGGCCGTTCCATTCGTGGCGCAGCGGCTCCTCGAGCACGATGCGGCCGCGCACCTCGTCCAGCGTCCAGCGTCGGCACCCGCGCCGGCGTCAGTTCGGGCTTGACCTTTGTCTTCAAGATCTGCGAGGTCACCTACGCCCAAAGGCCGCATGAGTGACGAGGATATTCATTGGAAAAGATAGGAGATGATGCAACAATCTGCCTCAAAAGGGGCGAGATCACAATGTCTGCATCGACCACTCCACGTGGTCCCCCTGGCATCTCGGCGTTGAGGCTCATGAGATACTCCGCCTGAAAATGGTACGGACAATATTACGGCTGGACTACTCCCCCCCCTGCGGCTTACCGTATACAGCCACCAGGAAGTCAGTCACTCAGTCGTTCAGTCGCTCAGTCGTTCAGTCGCTCAGTCGTTCATTCGTGAGATTCTCCGCCAAAGATGGTACATGCCGTACCACACCACGGCTGCCGTACTTCCTTCTCCTCGATGCTTACCATCTACATCATCCCCCCCCCCCCGAGGCCACCGAATACACCGGTACAGCAAGTGTCCTTACTAGTCCCGAGTGCCAGCTGGGGACGACACGAGAAAGATGTCTCCCGCAAAGACGTTTATGGATGCTGGAAGAGGACAGAAAGAACCCCGTGCGGCATTACTATTACTACATTACACGTCGATATCTGCCATACTACCTGCCCGCCAATTCAGTCCCCCGCGATCTGGCGACACAGACAAGAAAGACGACGTACGGACGTACGTAGGTGACGAAACCCCGGGGCGTTATCTGATCATATCGTCAGCCATCTATCTCTCCGCACCCTACCTGGTTCGCCGGCTCGACACTTGGCGGCCCCTCGGCCATCACCACCGTGACGGCAGCGGACACGAGGCACCCCGAAGCTCGACCCTGGATCGGCCACAGTCAAACGAGATCCAGATATTAAACAGCTAGTCAGCGACTAGGTAGATCTTCCGACGGCTCTCTCGGCCTCCTTCTGCGCTGTTGCTTGAGGGTAGCGGCTCAGACGCCAGCACAGTCCACGTACGCGACAGCCTCGGCCGCTGGACGGCATATTTGACGTTTGTTGCTGGACAACCAGACGACCAGACAGGCCCCCTGGGTATGGTAACAAGTTCAAGGTATGAGACTCCCTCCGCCCGGGGGGGGAAAGAAGTCGAAATGGCCAATCCGCAGCCAAGTCCTACAGCCTTCCTCTTGTCCGGCAGGCCACGGACGCCTCACGGTCGAACTCAGATCTGGAGATCAGGGCCTATTTCGGGCGCTCACGCCTCTGCCTTTTCATCGAATCGTCAATTTGTCTCCGAAATGAAACCCCCAGGTTCGTCCTATTGTGTACGTCCTGTCCTGTGGCAAACTGGGGCCCAGTAAAGGCTTTCTCGAGGTCTCTCTGACTCCCCGGTCTCTCCTCCTCCTCTTGCGTTCTTGCTTGGCCATTCATTTCCTCTGCCGAGCCGTGCGTGCCCAACAGTGCATGGGGCTTTAGCGAGATCTTGGTCCGGTGTTCTTGATGACGAAGGCCAACGAATACATCGTGGATGGAGTCGGTCCTCCTCTCGTTCCCGACGCCCTTGAACCCGTCATCGGTTCCCGTCTCACGAGCCGCAGCGGATTTGTTGCATTTGCGACATCAACCGGGGTTTGAAGACCCGAATGAGGTATTGACGTTGATGAAGACGAGGATGGCAGTGATGATATGGGTGAAGCGTCTAACGAAGTGTCAATCATCATCCTCGGTGGTCAGCAAGCAGACTCTTACATTCTTGGTCAGCAGAATGTGTCAAGATGGTGGAACAGGCGCCGGCGTTGAGGGATCAATAGCAGCGAGCCACCCCCCCATGTCAATGAAGAGTGTTCCCATGTCAACGAAGAGTGTCCCCATGTCAACGAAGAGTGTCCCCATGTCAACGAAGAGTGTTCGACCCTGGCAACGGGAAAGATTGATGCAACAAGCTCAGACCCAGCACGGTGCTTCCAGGTCGCACGGGCGGCATCTCAGCTGCCACCGCCGTCGCCTTTTCAGCATCTTGTCCAACGATGCAGGCGTTGGCGTCCAGAGCGACCAGCGCTCCGACTTGGCCGCTGGACTCGTATTCACCCTGACAGCACGTCATCTGAGGAGACCAATCCCACGATCACGTCTGTTTCTTTACAAAGATCACGGTCATGCTCCTGCATACGTCTTCTGCAAGACGCTATGCCCAAAGGGAAGTCCAGCTGGATCCATCTCGCCCGGTCAAACCTCGAAGCCCCTGTACGACGTCTGGCGTCTCTCAATCTTCCAGGGCGACGACAGCCCTCCCGCCCTTCCTCCTTGGCCGACGCCTAGCTCGATGCCTACAGGTATAAACACAAGGTCGTAGGTGCCTGGGCAGGTTCCAGAGCAAGACCGAAGATTGTACGACGGCAGCGTCGTGCACATGTCGATCGCAGTGTATACGATTACGTGCCCGAGAGCTTTCAGCCGAGTTGAGATCTACGCCCTACGCGGTCCGCATTACATACGATGACATACCCGAGAGCTGCTTTCAGCCTGGTCTAGATAGATCTACTGTCTCTCTGGGGTTTGTCGCAAGGGTCTGGTTTCCGAGCCTGGTGTTTCAGACTCTACGTGCCTGTCGAGAGTGAGAGCGATGGGAGTGCCGCGACCTTCAGCCTGCAGGGGGCGGGTCGAGGGATTCTTCGTGGAAGACAGATGAGCTGGAAGGCTGAGGAGAGTCGATGATCTTTTGCTAACCTCCTCACTCGACTCGGCAAGCCTCGTCCCATTTCTTCACCGTCACCGTCACCGCATCGACAGTCCCTCCTGGTGTTACGTTCTGCGCCAGCCACTGGGTCAATGCCACCGGTCCGTTCCTACATTCAGCCTCGGGGAGAACTTGACTTTTGCCGATCTACCTGGCTGTGGTCGGTCAGCACGACAGCTGAAAGGTCACGATTGGAAGAGTCATGTCAGCTGCGCAGTCTTGGACCTCTTTGGCTACCCGTCTTCTTACTCCGTTCGTTCGCCATCTCAAGCATGCGGCGAGATGCGGCGAGATTCGATAACGCTGGGGGACCGAGATCCCAAGAATGCAAAGGTCCTAGCTAGACCTGGCAGGGCTGGTTGCGAAAAAGGGTCGTGTTGCGCGCCTTTCATCTTTATCCCTGCCACCACCAAGCAGCTGCTGAGCCGGAGAGGGCAGAAGGAGGACGACATGTCGCAGCTGGCACTGCAGTAGTAGGAGCAGCAGCGGCAGCAGCAGCAGCTAGCACACCAGCAGAAGCAGCAGCGGCGGCGGCGGTGCGAGGAGAGCCGGGTAACTGAGAAGCCCGTTCGATCTGAACTCTTCTTCTGCCTTCCCGGCAGGCTGTTTCTGCCATCGACAGAATGATTCGATCCTCCAGCCTAACCAGGGAACTGCTCTCAGAGGCCCGTTCGACCTGGACCTAATGTTCTTCTTCTGTTTCTCTTCCGTTTAACCTCGATGTGAGAGACACTAACCCCAAGTCAGACGACGGTCTGGCACGATCGATGCAGTTCAACAGGCCACATACCTCGAGTTCCGCGGCGCCAGGCATTTGCTTGCTCTGGTTGGCCACCTTTTTGGCCATATCGGCTTCGTGGCCCAGAGCATTCGAACTCTTCAAGCCCGTGGGGCCTTGCCGGTTGTATGCCACGCTGGTTCCGTGAACGAGATCGATCAGATTGGCACCAGCAGCCTAGCGAGCCTACGCTAGTCTCCCCTCTCTAGGCACTAGATCTGCCTCGACCCCCTTCCGCGGGGCCTCTCGCCGCCACTTCTAGGCTGGACTACTTGCGCTTATCGTCAATTTTGTCGGCGGCATCGCAATTGGAGGCGTCCAGCCGTCTAGCCGCCGTCTGGCCATCGCGCAAATCGAGCTCGTGGCAATATGCGAGATTGTTCCGATTCTTACGATCAAACGCTTTCCGGCCGTTTCCATCAGCCACCTCCATGAACGTCTCTCACACACCTACTTTTCGGCCTATCCGACTCATCAGCATTCTCCTTTCGATAGCTTTTATGCCGACATTAGACGTTGAAGATTTGTCGAGAGCCCGTTCTCGCTGAGCCGTCCAGCAACAGTTCCGCCATTGAGGGTCAAGGATCTGAGTCTAGATAGATCAGAATAACTCGCCGTCTAGAAACAGTTCCGCCACTCCGAGGCTGCGCTTCGAAACCTAGCTACTAACGTCCGATTATCGAGTTATTCTAGCATTAGATCATTCGATAGTTCGAAGCTATCGTTCTCGTTCAGGATCTGAGACGGAAACAGCCATTGCGAGTTCTCTGGGGTGGAGGAATCGCGGTATATCGCTCTCCTTGAGCGCCGCGTACGAAATCTCTCTCGCCTCTTTAGGAACAAGTCTACCGAATATAGGGTCAGATTCGCGCCGCAGCCCTCGCAGAAGATCTCGCGCTCAATCGTCTTTACTATCCAACAAGACGACGAGGTAGGGAAACGGATCAGACTATGGCGTCCTATCAAGACCTTCCAGTACGAGGAACAGGCGATCGCGTCCAGGGCGAGGCGTTCGAAGCGTTCAAAGCTTTATTGAACGTGGGCCCGAGGCGCTGATTACGTCTCCCAGGGTTTCCTGTTGTGTTATAACTAGCTCAGCAGACCCCGGTGGCACTGGAGTGTCCTCTGTGAGTCCACCATCTTATTTACAAAAGTGATCAGACCCAGACCCTTTGCTCTACCTGCGCGATCGAGTCCGAGCCTGCGCCTTATTGGAGGCGCATCTTACACCAGGCCGGATGAGTCTGCGAGATTGCTTGGATACGAAAGAGCGACATTCTGGGTTCCCTGGAGACCGGAGATAGTGTCCTTGCGGGTGCTGTCGTTGCTATCCCCCGGCGTGGCTAATAACGCTGAGGAAAGTCTGGGCACCTAAGCAAGCTCGTCGGCCTTTTTTGTCCACCCTGACTTGCCTTCCTCCCTATTTTCTATATGATTTTGAGCTTGGAATAGATGATTCAAGATCCTCGGTGGACCGTATCTGGGCAGTCTTGCAGCCAGCAATGAACTGGTCGATAGCCAGTCACGGCGCCGGAATGGACGGCCCTGAGATGGCCTCATACTACACCTTCTGGTTCCCAACTAAGCGACTCCTCTTCATCTCGAAGCCGCTGTTTGCTCGGTGAGACACTATTCACTCGCGAGACGTCGATGGGGCGCATCCCAAGGGCTAATCGAGTGCTCAGGGTGGTCCTAATAGCCTGGACCAGCAAGGATGTGAACCGCCAGAGGGCACCGCTCCCGCGTTATCAGAGAATATTTACGTGGGGATACAGTAACGAGCAATCTATCAAGCTTACAGAGTGGACGATATGACGCCGTACTTATTGTATGGCGTCCTATTCTTTCTACTACTCCTATTGACGCTGTATGCGGAACTACTCACTGGCCATCGCACCGATACGCCCTCGGCAAAAAGACTACTGTTGGATTCTTGCTCGCGACCGGATTCGAATCTCTCTCCATTCTCCTATCTTCTCTCCAATGAGAACGTCAAGTACCTCCAGAAGGAACGGGCGGTAGCAAACGCAGAATACAGCCGCAAAAGGCCCCAAAAGTCGTGGCGCTCCCGCGAACTCATTACAGGCAAAGGGCGATATTCGAGTCCCGTCTGAAGATCTCGTCAGTTTTGATATCGACGATCTGGAGATCGAGCGGCAGTTGGACGGGGCGGTCCTGCGGCCGAGCCATACATTCATTGCCACGCGTGGTCGAGTATGAGTCTCCGGACCGAAATCGAGCTTTCACTCTCAACTCCCGGCCGCCGGAGCTTCTCGAAATTGCTTTGGCCAGTCATTTACCATCATCATCATCGTCATCGCAGGCAATCTGGCTAGCAAGGAGAGCAGTTTCATTTCTGAATGAGCCGGAAGAGCCAGATGGACAGAGGCGGCGCCGCGGCGTCATAACGCGGCTATCGACATGACGCTAAAAGAACAACTCAACGACGCCAAAGCATTTGCGGCAAGACAAGCGGCGTCATGCGGAGCTGGAGGCTTCTGACGTCGCCGCTGCCGCTGCCGCTGAGAACAGTTCAACGCTCGCTTTGAAATTTCACACCTGGACGCTTCCTTCGCGTCCCTTGTGCCACCCGCAACCCACTTCCAGTCGTCTGATGGGAAAGACAACAAGCCCGACGAGATTCATAGTCAAAAGAAATGAAGACCAGCCAGATTCGGTCTCGAAACCTGTCCCAGCTGCTTGAAATATCAACCGCTCGACACCGACGTCCCGGGCTTCTGACTTCCAACCTCCTGTCTTGCTTGTCTTGTCTCTTCCCCTTTGCAACACCATTCTATTATATTTTCATGTCTTCCCTCCTCTTTCCTACTGCTCCCGCACTATTCCATCGACGCTGTGTCTCTGTTATTGTCCACCGCTCTTGGATTTGCTAATATCCTTCGTCTCCTCGACCTTTGTTCGTTTCGACTTTCTGATGACATAATCTTCGCTTAAACTTCCAATGGCTTCGTCCGAATTTTCTCCTCTTCGCGCTGCTTCCCTCGCCCTCTACCACGTGATAATCCAGGGTCCTTGGTCAGTCTGCCTCGACGACAATCAATTCTGCTGCCTGCGCCGTATCGTGCCGTCGTTATCCGCGTAGGATCGCAGCCTCATTCCTTGCCAGCCTCATTCCACGCCAGCCTGGTCAACACCATGCCAGCCTCGTCGGTGGTTGACGACACCTGCGCCGCCGCTGCGGCTCTCGTCCGTTGGACGGGTTTGGCATACAACTCATGAGATCTTAAAGGGTCCAGTGGACCACAATGTGCGACATGTTGGTCCATGCATGGTCCAAGGAAGAAAGGTATCGTGTCTAGCCTGTCGCTTCATGCCCCTGTCGTTCCCTGGCAGTGTCGTTTCAAGCCCGCGTCGTTCCATACCTGCGTTGTCCCACCATATCTGTCTGTACTCACTACCTACCTAGGTACACCATTACCCTCTCCTCGTCCTCCTTGTCACCGCCTGTGATGATATGCGATCGCCCTCGGCCCATCTCAGGCTACGTCTCCAAGATTGCCGGGTTTGGTGAAGACGCCGCTGCTTTCCAAAGCCACAAGACGAAAGTTCTCCTGCTGGCCTCCGGAACGATTCCCATCGCATCCACCGCAACCCACTCAAGCCGCCCCTCCTTCGGTACTCCTTCGGCATCCAGATCTACCTCCTCATTGACGGAATCGATAAGCCCTGCCCGCGAACGCATGCGTCTGGATGATGCCGGGGCGAGATCATCAAAAGTCCTACTGCCTGTCTTTGAAAAAGGGTTGTGACACGCATAACTTGAAGGAGTGGACGGACATTCGCTTCATAGTGAGGGTGAAATGGGCGGGGTTGGCATCTGAAGAGGGTGGTACACTTTCGACTGTCGAGCAGTCATGTCCGACAACCAGGTGGTGATTGCAGGTCGAGGATGTGATTGAGAATAGGAGGACAAGGGGAGATTCCTCCTGTTCCAGGTTGCGCCGCGATACTCTCCTCTATCATACTGCCGGTTCTGCTCTCCTCCTCCTCGTCTCCTCCTCTATCATACTTCCTGGTCTGCTCTCCCTTCCGGCGGTTGATAGTGAGGAATGAGGCCGACACGAATCATCATCAACCCTACCAATGGAGCGAGTCGATATGTCCTGGCAGCACGTTTCTTCCTCAATATTCCCGAGTCTGGTGTCGTCCCGGCCTGTATCATGTACTTTTCAATGTAGTGCAAGCCGCCCGAGAGAGCGTTTCGTATTGACGTCTTTTACAGTGCCAACGCTCTCGCCTCTACAGTGTCAGCCTTCATCGCCGCAGGGATCGGGCACCTAAACGGTCGTAATGGACTGGACTCCTAGCAATAGGTCTTCATCATCGAAGGGATCTTACCCATCGCTATGGCGCCCATCATCTTCCTCCTCCTCTTGACATTCCCCGAGACGTCCACGGCGCTGTCAGAGCGAGAGCGGTACATCGCCATCAACCGATTCGGCCGAGGCGCGGCGAGAAAGACCGATGTCAGCTGGAGCTAGCCTGCGTTCCGTCGCATCTCCAAGCGACCGTCGACCCACGTCTTCTTCGTCTCGTACGTGGGCGCTGTGCATGGTCGCCGTCGCCCAAGCCACCTTCTTCAAGAGCCCACCATCCTCAAGGTCTTCCTCGGCTAGTCGACGACAAAGTCCAACCTCTACACCGCCGCCTGCAGCCTCAGCATTATTCCCAGGCAACCTGGTGAGGTTGGAGCATCGAATCCATTCAGTCAGTGGCAGAAACAGCCTCCCGGGAAGGCAGCGAGTCAGTCAGTCAGTCGTTCAGTTCGTCGTTCATTCAGTCGCCCATTCAGTCGTTCGTTCATTCATCAAGGACGGCAAGCCTCCACTCAAGCTGGCTTCAATGTCACACAAAACCCTTGCGATGCAGCCACGAAATTCCTTCGGGACGATAAACTCCCCATGTCGAATTTGAAGAAACGCTTGAGGCGAATCCAAGTTCACACCCCTACCAAGCTCGCGCGCATAGCCCTCAAACAGCTGCTCCAGCTGCTGCAGCCGCTCCAGCCGCTTCCAGTCCGAAACGTCGGTCTTGAGGAGGTAATCCTATGACGGCGGGAGTCTGTCCGTTTTCTAGAGAAGCGGTACCGCTACTCTAGCCACGCGATTGCTTTGTTGATATCCGATGGTCTTGGTCGGCTTCTGAGAGGGATTCAACAGTCTCAAAGAAAACCCCCATCATCCTGCCCCAGATGGTAAGTGTCTGGGTGTTCAACAACCAACCCGTCTTCTTCGTTCAGGACCCCATCAAGTTCCCGCGCTCAACCGCTCTCTCAAGAGACATCCTGCTACGCACACCTCTGATGCAGACATGTTCTGGGACTTTCACGTCGTTCCCCCCGAGTCCATCCATGCCTTGATGTTTCTCTTCAGTGACCGCGGCACTCCTGCGTCTTTGCGCTCCGTCAAAGGTTACAGTGGTCACACCTACAAGTTTACGAAGAAGGACGGCTCCTACCACTATGTCACCACCTCCCGGAAGCCAAGTGCTTCCCCAGTCTTCGCCCATGGTCTCTGCTCCAGTATGCCTGCATACGAGGCGCAGTTAGACGTATTCAGGCACATCGAGGCATCCAAAACGCTTCATATCCACTTCTATGGGTTGGGATCTCTTCTCTTCGGTTGCCACGGGGACCACGAACCGTCTTTCAGGGTGCATCTGTCCCTCAGCCTTCCCATCAACCACAGGCCAGGGAACAACGTGAAGGGGTGGGAAAGGACCTCAAGAAGAAGACAAACAGACTCTCCAGTCATGGAACCCATGGAAATGACCAGGGGTTTCATTCGAAATCGCCACATCTGTGATGGTTAGGAAAAGACCCTGGAACTCTCTGCCGAGGACGACACGTGGTACACAGCTGTTTGATATCGATATTCTTACCCACGCCCACCAACGACGCCCGGACGCGAAGTTTCCGACTGATCGATTCCATCCCGATCCTCCTGTCCTTGGTGCCTCCTGTCCTTGGTGAGGAACTGGTATTGATGGTTTCGAATAAGAAGCAGTTCTCATTAGCCTGCAAGAGGGATGGGGACTTCGAGACGTTCGCGGACAAGAGCATGTCATTCCTCTTGTGCTTGGGAGCGAGCTGACCTGACGATTTCGAACAAGACACTGTTCTAATCTACCTGGAAAGACGACAGGGACTTGGACAAGTTCGAGGCCAGGCCCGTTACACCGCCACGGCCACAGGACTCAACGCAGGCGAGGCGCAGACGCGACGAGGAGCGAACGAGACCGAGCGCTACTACTCAGCGTCAGGGCCAGTCGATTCAACGTCAGCGTCAGTCGACTGCGGCGGATGAACCGCTGAACGTCGCTGCCGGCGAGATCTACGTCTACGTCAATGAGTGAACTACCAAGTGGCAGTGCCAGAAGGATCGATGTCCGAGTCACGGCAGAACCTCCTGTCTACCGATAGACGAGGGCCACGTTTCCGCCTCAATACCCAATCGATTCGCGTGTGGTTCGAATCGAATCACTCCGCAAAGGCCTCCGCAGCGATCGAAGAGATACCAGGGTCGTTACTCCTGAGACTCATGAAGACAAAAGCCCTCCGCAACGATCGAAGAGATACCAGAATCGTTACTGATGAGACTCATCAGGACAAAGAATAACTACATGAACAAAAAAGGCCGGCAAGACGGGGTCAAATTGCGCGCAAACCGCAACCCGGTGGTGGTAGCGGCGCCCCCCGTTTGAGGAAGAAAGGAATTCGCCGGCTCTCGACTTTGGAGGTCAAATTTGCAGGACCAGGATCGCCGGCCTTTGAAAGCCACTTCTCAACCACTTCAACCCGGCACTGAATCATGGCCCATGCAGTCTCCTCGGCTTTTTGGCGAGAGATCAAGCCCATTCTACGGGGCAGAGGGCTGGGAGGTGCTCGTAACATTCGAACAGTCACAGATCCCAGGCTGGGAACGCATGATCGACAGAGGTAACTTGAGTTACCGACCATCCAGTGTCATCCTCGCCACTAGAAAGAACGCGTGAAAATCGCCCAGAAGGGAGGGGGGTGGGGGGGGGGGTGAGGCGTGCGCAGATAGAAGAGAACCCGCATACAATCCACCAATTCGAGGGCCATTTGTCCAGTTCAAGGCCAGATGGTGAGACCTGCGAGGAGTCCTGCTCGTTGTACCAGTCGTTACAGTTCCCCGACACGCCGCCACGCGCGTAGCTCGCCGCGATGAACAGGTTCGAGCACGTGTACCTCATGCCGCCGTAGGCGTTGGAGACGCCTCGCCCTCGCTACCTTTCATCGATACCTCGCCATCGCTACCTCGCAAAGAGAGGTCTTGGGATCAATTTGCGACACTGTTCGAGGTTGTCGACGATGGATTGAAAGGGTGTACTTGAAGTCTACGCTCCGGGGGGGTCAAGAAATCCCAATCTACTTGCTGTTCCTTTGCTGGTTTAAACCCTTTTGCTTCTCTGCTCGAGGATTTGACGCCGCAGATGGCGCGCACCAAAATCCCTGGTCGACCGACTGTCAGTTCGTACTTACCACACTATGAGCACGACCTCGTCTACCACTACTTCGCGTACGATTGATCTCATACTCACCCTGATCGAAGGGCTACAAGAACAAGCTCAGCACCTTCAGGTAATGGTTCAGGAGTGTCCATGACAGCCTAGCCTTGTCTCTGCTTTACAAAGGGCTGTTTTGTCTGCGTCTTATGACAAGAATCGGCGAGGGCCTTGAGACCGGAGCGGCGGACGGCAGCGTCAGTAGCCCCATGGCTACGACAATTGGCCCCCGAGTTCCATCCAAGGACTCGTGCACCGAAATTTTCCAATGGGCGTCATCTACCAATTGTCTTCATCTATCAATGGGATGTGTGGATGGATGATGTCCATTCAACCATCGCGATTTCATTCAGATTCAGAATGTCCTCCTCGCCGAGCGGTCCTTCAAGGAGGATGCGGCGCCGTCCAAAGACCCTCTGATTGTCTGACAGCGACCACACTCGATCGGTGCCTTCGTGACTAAATGAGAGAAGAGAATCACCGACTTCCTCGTTTATTTGAACCCACCACCTCATTTCACATGGCTCATTACCAAAATGAAGATGCAGCAAACCTCTTGGGACAATCCAAGCCTGTTATGCATGCTTGCGGCCACGACTCGCATACGGCAGCTCTTCTTGCCGCCTCAGAACTTCTTCACAAGGGCCTCACCGCAACCTCTCCTCTCCTCTACTCTCATCGAATCGAAGCAAACCATTCTCCGCAGCGACACCGACTACGCAAGGCAGGTCAGGTCTACTCAAGAAGTGTCGAGATGAGTCTCGGCCAGGCGAGAGCGTGACAACCGCGTTTAACCGTCTGCTACGGTGGCGCACGCGTTTCCTCCTCACGCCTATAAATACCGCCGCCCACACGGCCACTGACTGATTCTTACAGACACATACTTCGGTATCGCTTCGCAATAAGTGGCGAGGATCGCAGCCCCCCGCGGCGGCGGACGGCCCCGAGCGTGGCCTTGGATTCTCACAGTCTCATCCACGAGAACTCCAGCTGCAGTGATTCAGGAATGCCTTTTGAGAGAACTCCAACTGCAATGAATGATTCGCGAAGCCTCTCGAGAGAACTCCAGCTGCAACGATTCTAAAAGCCTCTTGAGAGATGATGCCCTCGGTGCCCTCGATGGCCTTGACAGCTACAGTGATCATGAAGTCCTTGACCTTGGGCATTCCTCACCAAAAAGCTGGGGAGCTTCCAGGAAAAGACAGCACCTCAGGACCTGGTCCTTTGAAGGAACCAGGGCCTTGGTGTGGCGCCTCGAAATGATGGACGCGCCGTGCAGGCATCCAGAAAACGTGATTTATAATAACGACGTTTGATACATCTGACTCACCAGGCAGGGCATGTCGAGCGAGGCCACGAAAGGACCACGACTGTGGGAGCCTGAGCTCCTACCTCCGTCGAGTGAATCGTCCTCTGAGACTTCACTGGACGGCGTCGAGCTCTCCGAATCCGTTAAGATCTGGTACTCGGTCACGGTGCTTTCGAAGTCGGGCAGCTCTGCGTCTTTTATCCTTCACCACAGGGCTTCTCTTTCACACCTCCGAGGTTGATTCGGGACTGTCTCCTTCGCCCGTTTGACCTGTTTATCAACTTCTTTGGCCCGGAATCGCTGTCGGCGATTGTTCAAACGACCAATGATCGTGCAGTGCGTGAATTGGCTCGCGACCCATCAATCCTGCCTGTGGAACGGACATGGCACTAATTGGCGATCGGTGATATTCGTTCGATGGCTAAGAATACTTGTCGATATGGGACATTACATGGAAAAAGCGTCGGATCGACTGATTGGCGCGAAACCTGGCGCACGAGGCCACGGATCAGGCACTGGCGAATCCACCATCTGACGGTGGGAGAAACCGGGGCGAAGGGGTTGCTTCAACAAGCACGAGAGACGTAACTGGCCAATCGTCACCAGCTTCATCACCCACTACATCTTGACGTGGCAGATCTTTCTGAAATACTACGCCGTCCAGACCAAGGGGATCATGATCCTGCTTCGGCTTCCGCGAACTGGGACTCGATAAGGAGTTCGGAATGGCCAGTCTTACAGTACCATTCCACATTCTTCAGAACCGTCTCGGGCTCAGCAATCAACAAGATATAACTCGGCAGAGGCGGCGGAGAAGATGTTCGTGGAACCGCCCCGTTGGCCCGAGTATTTCCCTACCCCTATTGGGAAGGTTTGCCGTATATTTTCCGCTATATAGAGGTCCTTGCCTGATCAATCATTCATTCCACTTACACCAGAACAGATTGGTATCATCAGGGGGTGGTCCAAGAACCGCCTGCACGATAACGGCGAGCGCCGCCTGGTGGAGGATCTGGAACTGCCACCAAAGCACTCCAGCTGCAGCGATCTAGGAAGCCTCTCGGGAGGACTCCAGCTGCAATGAATGATTCGGGAAGCCTCTCGCGAGAGCTCCAGCTCCAAGGGCGCGAATTCCAGGAGAGGGCACGCTCAAGAACAACAACAGTCCCCAGAAAAAGGGCGGCAGCTAATAAGAATGCCGCGAATGCTGCAAAGTCTATCAATGCCCGCAGATTGTCGCCATGTGCCGGGAAACAATGGAACACCCGGACGGCGGCTTCTGGAACTAGATTTACTCGGAAGCCAGCTACTGGCCGTGGGACTGGATGTACTTCACACGGCTGGTCAACGACACTGGCAACAATCGTCTGATGATCAAGCAGCCTGGCACGAGGCCACGGATCAGGCATTGGCCAGGGGCCTGACATGGGAAATCCACAGATTCCTCGCAATCAAACACCAACGAGATCTCTACTTGGGCGTCCGATATCAGCCAGATTACAGCCTCTTGCGTCGATTGTCCGTGTCAACTGCCAGCAACCTACTGTGCCAGCGACCTGGTTATTCGATCGACAAAGGCATGATTGCGCGTTTCAAGCCCGGTTCCTCCGCCCATTCGACCAAACCAACAAAGCAAACCGATCTCTCAGGCCTTCAAGTTCTATGCAATCAGTTCCGGAGGCTTCATCTCACAAGGGTAAAGCGTCTTGCCCAAGAGTCGGACGAGAAATCCGGAGAAGAATCTTACATCACCCATCCGTCGATGATTCTCTGTTCCCGGGTCACTTTACGCCACCATGCCGAGCGATTGTGTCAAGAACGAAAGCGTCCTGGTATTTCCCTACGTGATACTCGCGAGGTCCAAAGAAGTCCGCCACACCTTTCACAATGCAGAGGGCCGCGGTACCGCACTCACCGGTCCCGGTCAGAGTCCACGCCATAGCGTTTCCACTGCCACAGGGTAATTGGACGACTGCCACTTTTCTGAAGGCCTCGATACACGGGATTAGCTGTGGCACTCGGGCCGCAATGGAATAAAGCAATGGCACAAAAAAAGCGTCTCGAATCGCCCGGTATAATGATGTCTGTCCCTGAGTTAAGCTACGGCCCTTGAGGCGGACAGCAATGTTGCGCTCCGAGACGTCGACATCGCCTCCTTCCGGGCCACGGCACCAAAGACCAGCCCACAGTCAAGCCCCCAAGGCAAGGAAAGGAGACATTGGTACAGTCTAAAAAACAATCCTGGCCTCTCAAAGCTTGCTCCATTGGTACATAAACTATCAACCCCGTTCAAAAACGGGCCTTTTTGACTGTCCCAATGCGCCGGGTTTCGTGGCATCGCTCCGAAGCAGCTAACCCGCGTCTCGACTAGATCATACGCGCGCAGTAAACTCTTGATGACTCCGAAATGATGGCCCTGTGCGCGACTAATCGCTCACTCAAATGGGGCGTCAACACACAGCAAAGATGGCAGGAACAGGGCCTGATTCTGTCTCTGGCAAAGGAGAATAACGCTGTTCTCGTCGTTCACCACCGAATGGTTTCGGCGGCATGTCAAAGAACTGGTCATGATTAGGTGAGGGGATTGCATTGAGCATGCAATAAAGACTTTGCTGGCCGGCAGCATTCTCATCAAAGCCCTGGAAGAAGCTGCCCAGACCCTTGACCTCCATGTGCACTGAGCAAAGGTTGGCCCGGCGGAAGTCAAATAATGTTTGACATCTTCCAAAGGTGGAGGGAGATATTGTATGAGGAGGTTCGTGGCTGGACTGATCAAAGGCATGGCATTGATGTGCCGTGGCGGCTCCAACGCCATTCTGTCTGATAAGTGGCAATTCCCTCGACCGGATATCGACATCCGGCTGTATTCCTGATCATCATGGAGTAGAAAGGAGGGAGTCCGACTTTGTCTGCCTTGCCTCTGGGTAGGATTTGCCCACGCTATCCCCAGATGCCGGTCAGGACTACGACACGAACGGACTACTGGACTTTATCAAGCTTCGAGTATTGCTGCAATGGAGCAAGAATGTGGAGGAAGTGAGCAAAGACCCTCTGAATCAATTACTGGCTTATGAAAACGCGTCGGGCAACATACTGGAATGCTACAGCTGGATAGGATGATGGTGCAAAGACCTCTTCTGGAGCGCCAACTGGAGCACGACGGCGAATTCGGAACCGCAAACTGAATCAACCGCTTTTCTCCTCCCCTGTCCTTGTTGACGAAGTCCCGCAGAACGACCGCTGTTCGAATACGACACCATGACTAGTTTGTCCCCCTGTTACGCGGACCGAAAATCAACTGGCCTCCGCATAGGGGGTTCACCACCTGTCTTGTTCTTCTCACTATGAAGTATGACTCTGATATCAACCGCCGCTCAATTGTATTTCCTCGCTAACGGTCAATCTTCGTCTAGGTCCGGCCAGCAGCTCCGCCAGTCTTTGATCAAGGACTACGGCCCATAGAGAGCCAATCCGTGAAACAAGGCTATCAATGCCGGCGCTCCAGACGCTCCCAAGACAACGGCACGGTCATCGTCGACGTCGAGATACTCAAACCTGACGAAAACTCCTCGAGACGTTTCCGCAGCGCAGCTTCAATTCGAACCCGAACCCCCCGCCCGACGACTGCAACGCTGCTCCGTCTTGACCTGCGTACGGTGGTGATGTAACTGCCCGCGAGGATATTCATTCTGATGGACTCCCACTCTCAGTGGTGAGAAGCATCTGCATCCGTCTCTTCAACCGGGCTAGGACTTGGGGACGATCTCTCTACGATGAACGCGGGTGGATGGGCGCTACCAACGACTTCAAATGACCTCGTTACCACCAAGGACGAGAAGAGTCCCGACCCGCTGTGGCTCCTGCGGTCCTTGCCTACGATCCTTGCCTACGATCCTTGCCTACGATCCTTGCCTACGATCCTTGCCTACGATCCTTGCCTGCGGTCGGACAATTCGCTGCGCTCCTTTTCATCGTCGAAGCTCAAAAAAAGTCGGTGGGGTCAGATCTCATGCGGGCAAAAAGAAACAAATGGTCGTCAGAAGCCGCGAGTGAAATGGATCTGCGCTTGGTGATGGCCAACGGCCTCTCAGCCCAACTCTCCTGGCGTCTCTGCTCCTGAGGGTGTGTGATTGTGATACACCATCGAGGAAGAAATGTCGAACCAAAGTCTCTCAGAGAACCCAGGCAAACAGTCACGGGGCGGCACCAGCAAAAGAACCGGTTTCGACTGGACGCTGTCACCGGAGATTCCTTTGAGCCTCTCGGTGAAATGTTGAGGACGAAGAGCTGGCTAGTGGGTGAACAGGTTTCCAGCGCTGACTGTCTGGTCCTCGGTTATCTGGCTCTGATGCAGACACCGGCACTGGAGCATGGATGGCCACGGGAGTCTCTGCAGACAAAACATAACAACCTAAAACAATGGGTGAAGAGTCGGGTTGCGGAAGTGTTTGGCACAATGACAACCTGGACGACAAGGATAATATCTCCAGGGCTCAGTCCCGAATGGAGAAACTCGAGGAAATGGTAACGGAGTTGATGCAGGCAAATCAGAGCACACATGGGCAGAATGGACAGGCAACGCCTCCTCATTCTGGCAAAGGTCTCTGGATACTGTCGACGAGCGGACGCTCCGACACCGTTCCAGTATCGTTGACGGCTGCTACTTGATCAACAGCAGCAATACGGTCGCCGCCAACGGTCATCTAGCTGTTACAGGTGTCGAAACCAGATACCTTGGGCCCTCACACGCATACAACCACACACCACGGCCGATACCAGACTCCTTGAAGCCACCGAAGGGCACCTGGTAGCTGAGCATGTTGTCGTTTTTGACCCAGACGGTGCCGGCCTTGAGGGCGTTGGCAACGCGGATGGCAGTGCTGAGGTTAGTGGTGTGCACGGCAGCGGCGAAGCCGTAGGTGGTCTCGTTGCCGAGTCGGATCACTTCTTCCTCAGTCTTGAACTTGCTAAGGGCGCAGACAGGACCAAAGATCTCTGCTTGCATGATCTTCATGTCCTCGCTGACATTGGAGAAGATGGTGGGCTGGATGAAGTAGCCCTCCTCGCCGTGGCGCTCACCACCAGTCTCAACCTTGGAACCAGCCTCCTTACTGGACTGGATGCAGTTTCATGATCCGGTCGAATTGAAGCTTGCTGACCTGAGGCCCCTGGAAGGTGTCGGCCTTGAATGGGGCGCCAACGACGTTCTTGGCCGTCCGCTCCTCCACATACGCATAATCATACACAAACACACACATACATTGTATGAGGGTCGATCGAGGCTCAACGTGCACGTGAAACGACGCACAGAAGCCTGTCCAGCAGGTCGGTAGTCCTGAGAGGGGCCTACGTCAGGCCTATTTCAGCCGCCAACGCGTCCAAACCCTCAGAGTCAACGCCCAAGTCATGTCGCAGGGGCAGTGCAGGCGATAAGAGACTGGTCATGTGGTAGCAGTGATTGGAATACAAGACGGGAAGAATACAGGGACAACAGGGGCTTGACAGAATTGATCTTGCCTGACTTGAGTCGATAGTTAGCTTCAACTACCACCAGCAATGCTCGATGGAAAGGCCATGCCAATGTCCTCTGTACAGTCTGACGACATGACTGTCCTGTCCTTTCTCGCCCATTCAGCCTGTTTCAATATACACACCTCCAGATTTGCATATCTTCAAGAGGACAAAGACATGTGGAATCCAGTTTGATAAAAAGGGGTCCCGAACTATCGAAGCATTTGTCGACAGAGTGACTGGGCTGGCCAAGACGGATGGGCTCAATAGATAACAAATGGCCACCGGCACCTGTCAGGCTTCTATGAAGAGACCGTCACGGGCTACCGAGTCGCAGAGGAACGTCTGGGCCAGCCTCGACACCTCCGAGTCGTCAGGGTCGGGGCTGGCGCCAGCGGGCTCAACATGGCACGCCACATGGAGTTGCACATGCAGAATTACGAGCTCATGGTCTATCGAGGCCCACCACTGGTTGGGGTGTTGAGCTATCAACGGGAGGCGCGATGATCAGATTGTCAGCAAAAGCACCAGAAGACCGTCGCGCTTTTTCGACTGCGGAAGCCGAATATATGGGCAGCAACTGAACCCTACAAGGAAGCTATTCGGCTCACTGGGCCTTGCCATGATCTCAGAGGACGACACGATATGCCCCGGGGAGGAATCGTGCTTCCATATCGACAATGAATCAGCCGTCAAAACGTCGAAGCTCCAGGATTTCATGCAAGAACAATACACAGGACGTGTAACAAACCACCTGGCGCCGAGACCTTTTCGGACTGGATGCTTTCGGTGTCTATTTCTGAGATGATCATTCTTGGTCGTCCAGTCGGTACATGCTCTTATCCGCCTTAGAGGTAGTGGGACCTCCTCTTCTCGGTCATCGATGGCCGAACGACTAGCCTCCAGTATGACCTATACGTTGAGGACCGATCAAATTACGGTATCACTTCATTCGAGATGGACACCTACGCTACTCGGTCCTCGGCAACTCCTGCAGATTATCTTGGGCTGCACTGGACCCTCCCTCCCTCCCTCTCTTCTCTTCTCTTCTCTTCTCTTCTGGTGGCAATCCCGGGGCGTACTCTCCCGCACCGCAGACCGAAGATCACGCACCACGCACCGCACGCAGTACAGCTACAGCAGTGTGCAGGATTACCAAGGATATAATGACCTCGCTCTCGTCAAGACAGGGAGCTGCCGGGCTTTGGAGCGAAAGACGTACAAATGCCCCCTCCTGGAAGCCCATATTCTCCAGGGCGGGCCTGCCCTGTTGGCGGCGGCCGGCGCAGTTCTCATCACCACTGCAGCATTCCTCGTTGCCCAAGGAGTCCCTCAGGAAGTGTCCCGCTTCGATGGATCAGTGCTCTCCTCCCACATTCTCTTGATGTCCACCAAAACAAGTGCGACGTCGGTGAGGGAGATCATTGGGTCATTCTAGACCTCCAACGGCCTCACTCGGAAACCCCCTGCGCCAGCGTACCAAATACCTATTCCTTAGCGAATGCTCCGTGCACGCACGGCCTCAATCCAGGCGAGCTCCGAGCCCATCAAGAAGAAATGAAGGAATTTGAGTTGACATGACTTGAAGGCTAGACCCTACCGGCTGGTTCTAACGGGTCTCGATGGTGCATGTGGTGGTGCAGCAGCTTGAACACCACCATATTTCAGTTGTGAAACCCCTACAGCAGGACAAAAAGAATCGATACACATGACATGAACCCAAGAGAGGTTTTCGTATGTCGTCACGAGGAAGGTCTGGACAAGAGAAGGCTCTTCCAGAACAGTTCAGCTTCACGCTCCTTGTCCCCGACGAGGAGGTGCGGTGTCTGTCCAATGGCCCGGGATCTGTCACTCGCTTTGACTTGATCACCAATCATGACAGGGAGTAGTACACCCTCACCTATCCCTTTTACTCGAAGGCGAAGGGGAAGGGGGTGTTTCGCTTTGACTTGATCACCACAAATCACGACAGGGAGTAGTACACCCTCACCTATCCCTTTTACTCGAAAGCGAAGACGACGGGGGGTGCCATGGCGAGACGAGATGCGGGCTTGTGTTGTGGTATGTATGTGTGGTATGTGGTATTTACCTCCCTCACAGTACCGAGGCCACACCGGGCGAGGCATACGATACGGGGGTGACGCGAGCCAACGCGAGACAAGCTACGAGCTCGCAGGTGTCATCAGTGTCATCACCGCCCGAGAAGGGTCCAGGAATGACCGTCCGCAGCCTGGAAAAGGGCGTCCGTAGCCTCATGCCCGATACTGCAGAGCCCCCGCGGGAGTCTGAAGAAATGCTGCGGGACCCTTGGTTGAGGGAGGGAGAACTCGGCCGTCGCGGTGGACGCGTCGCCATCAGGTGCACGGGCGCGCGAATGATCCCGGAGTCCAGCCCATGGCATCATCATCGAAATAACGTGAGCGGATGGAGGTGGATGGAGACGAATGGATACGGTCTATTCTCTTTCTACTCTCAGCCCTCAGGTTCCAGCCCTCAGCTCCCAGCCCTCAGTCCTCAGCTCTCAATCCTCAACTCTCACGCCCTCCTATCCTGTCCTTGAGCTACCCGGAATCGACCTCAGATGACCATGGCACTGCAGTACTGCTTTCCTCTGGTTCGATTGTCGACCTCAGCTACGGTCCCGACAGGCCGTAGACCTCATTTTTACGCCAGCATCTACGCCAGCAGCCTTTCAGCGGCTACCTGGTGTGGTTGGGGCGCCATCCGCTGACGAGTCCAAGCTCGTGTATCTCAATCCCGGACAAGGACTGCCGTCGTCGATGTCTCCAAATCTGGAAGTATGAGCGAAGCCCCCGTTGAGGTATGGAAATCTTTGGGCCATCCGGCAGAATAGGGCGTGAGGACTTGATCCTCGCTCCCGTGTCCAGCTCCAAGGAATGTCTCGGCAAGGGATGTCTCTCTCTGAGGCGTGTCTCTCTCTGAGGCGTGTCTCTCTCTGAGGCGCGTCTCTCTCTAAGGAATGTCTCGGGTGGGGGATGTCTCAGCAAGGAATGTCTCTCAGCGAATAATCATCTCTCACGAAGAAATGTCCCAGTAAGGGATGTCTCTCACTAATGGATCTCTCTCGGCAAAAGATGCCTCTCACGAAGGAAGGCCTCACACCAAGAGATGTCTCTCTCCAACGGATGTCTCCCACTGAGGGATGTCTCTCGTTAAAAGATGCCTCTCTTCAAGGAATGCCTCTCCAAGGAATGTTTCACACCACGAGATGTCTCCCACCAAGAGGTATCTCTCAGTAAGGGATATCTATCGTGGGCATCTACTTGCCTATCGCCAACACTCAGCAAAGGATGTCTCATCATGAAACGTCTCACCAAGGGCCCTTTATCTCGTGTCTTCTCACGCGACAGAGTCGAGCCAGTCTTCATCTACGCCGCTGGACGATCTTTGAAGTCAACTGGCAGAAGCATAAGAGTAGGCGCCTCGCACACGACAGCGCAGAGCCAGTCTTCATCTGCGCAGCTGGACAAGCCTCCAACTCAACTTGCAGAAGTACAAGAACAGTTGAGAGAAGTCGAGAAGAAGCACCGCGAAGCCATGCTCCTGGCAACATATATCCCACGCGAATCTCGGCCACTCGGCCTCCTGGCCGGACAAGCGCAGAAGAGTCGAGAATCGGTCGGCCTAAACCTGGTGATGGTACACGCTTGTTTCATCAGAGGTACACCCCGGCGACTACAACGACCAGTCTATCATCGTGCCGTGGTGCCCGCGGAAAGGAGCATCTCTGCAAACAAATCACACTCAAGGTCTTGGCTCTTCTTCTGGCGATAGCCTCGCACTTTGCTTTGAACAACGCTGGTGAGAGGCCGGTCGAGGGAGGTTCGTTCGAGGGAGGTTCGTTCGAGGGAGGTTCGTTCGAGGGAGGTTCG